TGCCATTGCTCTGCCAAGGTTTCTCTTGTCACAGCTGTTCTGATTAGGATCCCATGCTCCACTCATGCGCTTCCCCGTTGATGGTCCTAGGATCCTCTGTTTCTGAAATGAAAGATTAACTATTCCCCCTTTTAGATAAACATCTTCTACATTTACAGTTGTGACAATCACAATTAGTCCTGCTAGCAATTAGTCACAATTGAATCATAAACTCCTATCCCCATCATCCCCTACCCCTTTCACCAGACCTATCTGGACAAGAGGAAAAGTATTCAATGGGGATTCTACCTTACTCCCTTTATTCAGAAACTAAGCACATTCATAAAACTTGTAAGCCAACCATTTTGTGCCTTTATAGACCGCCCCCCTTTTTTAAAAGTTTTTATTGTGAATTGAGTGATAGTTTACATGGGAGAACATCAGCTTTACATTCATCCTATCGTATTTCATTTTATTGCAATGATTACAATCCCCTCCATGCATCTTCATTCAACAGAATTTGCTCCCAATGCCTCTGGTTTTTAATTTTTTGGAGGATGTACACCGAAGCACTCAGAAATATATAACCATTCAAACAATCGAAGGGTACACCGTGCACACCAACTCCTCAGCTACCAGCACACAGCCCCTCTCCCTCCTTGAGTCTAGAGTTCCCAGACGCTCTGTCTCTCCACGTCATTGTTTCTGACTTCAGCTCTGGCATCACTGCTTCTCTGGATAGGGACCCGCACTCCACTCTTCTCCCTTGATGGTTCCAGGGTCCTGCGTTCCTGGACAGCAAGATCAACCACTCTCCTCCTTTTGTTATAAAATGTCTACCTTTACCTTTGCAATATTCACAATCAGTCCTGATAGCAATTATTCACTATTGAACCACAAAAGTCTTATCCCCATGTCCTTTCACCAGCCCCGTCCAGACAGGTTGGAAACCACTCAGTGGAGACACTACCTTCCCATGCACCCTCTGAAACTAGGCTTCCTCTTGAAAGCTTGTAAGCCAGTCACTTCATGCCTTTGTAGCCCTCTCCCCACCCCCCACCCCCATTTTGAGTAGCCAGTGTCTAAGTTGCCTATCCCTGTTAACCCTGTGTACCGAGGGGGTGGGAATGATCCTCAATGTAAAGATTTGTTCCCTCTTTTGAGCTACTACATCCATAAGTATAGATCAAGTTCATCAAATTGTAGTGGGTGACTCTTTTTTTCTTCTTTTTTCTTCCTTTAGTCTAGTTCTGATCATCCAGCCATTGAATCCAGGTCAAGTGGGTACTATCTGCAAGTATGGGTGTTCTTGTGCATCTCCCCTCACTTCATACCAGCTGGATGCTTCACTCTCTACTCTAGTCCTCTGTGAGTATGTCCCTGTCCCTGGGCTCAGAAGTCCTCAGGTCTCGCTATGCTGCTGGCCAACCAGCTCTCAATCCAGGTTGACAGAAGTCTATTGAGCGTGGCCAGACTTAGCTCACAACTTCATTGCTGTTTTTCCCCCACTTCCCCTTATCAGTAGACCAACGTTGTCACCAGCAAGAC